TTCAGCCTGTCTTTTGCACTCCCTGTTGTGGGATATCTAGAGAGCCTCCTGTTCGGGGAATAGTGGTTGAATCGTCCGAGTCTGCATTGGAGCCGACTCATCACTTGGAGCATCTGGGGCTGATCTTAGAGACGGCTCAAGCCAGATTTTCTCTTCCACAGGAAAAATTTCAAACTCTGCTCCCAGATTTGGACTCTAGTCCAGGATTTGTCCAACTCTTCATTCTGCATGTGAGTCTTGGGGATGATGGTAGCCTCCTTCGAGGCAGTCCCATTTGCTCACTTCCACTATAGACACCTATGACTCAGAAGCCTGTCATGGCGGGACAAATTGGTCTCTGGACAAACTGATTCATCTGTCACCAAGGACCTGGTTGTCTCTGGCCTGTTGGCTCAGGAATCCTGCTCTGGAATTAAGGAAATCCTTACTTCCAATCTTTAAAAGATCTCCACAAAATTTTGTACCTCACATTTCTCTGGTGCATTGCGTTCCTCATTCCAATTAGTGCAGCATTTTACAAATTTTTTTTATTGCATCTCTATAAGGGATGCACCGATACCGTTTTTTCTGTATCAAGTACGAGTACCAATATTTATCTTTCAGTACTCACCGATACCGGTACTTCTGTTAGCATGGAGGCGCCTTCCCTGGGCAATCAAGAAGCCGGGCGGTGTGCCATTACTTCTTGATTGCCCTGGAAGCCGGCTCCATGCTGATTGGCCAGGAAGTAGGCTTCCCAGATAATCAGCATGGACCCGGCCAAACAGCATGGAGCCGGCTTCCCGGCCAATCGGTCATTACCCACCACCCGACTTCCTGATTGGCCAGCAAGCCAGCTCCATGCTGTTTGATCGGCTCGATGCTGATTGGGCTGAGGAAATCTCCCTCTGACCAGAAGTTCCGGTATCGGGGGTAAGTATCGGAGCATTTGGGGAAATACAAGCACGAGTGATATAGAGCCATTGCTCGAGACTGAAAGTGCTGGAGGAATTGCACAATACTTTCCAGCATCTACCAAAAACTGAAATATCCATTGAGGTACATTTTGTAGTAGGGATGTACCGGTACCGTTTTTTTTGGTATTGAGTATGAGTACCGATACTTATCATTACCCGCCACCCGGCTTCCTGATCGGCCAGAAAGCCGACTCCATGTTCCCTCGCGGCACTGCCGGTCAGAGGAAATCTCCCTCTGGCCAGAATTTCTAGTATCGAGGGTATGTATCGGAGTTGGAGGTGAGTACGTGTACTAGCCCAAATAGTCGGCATCGGTGCATCCCTAATCTCTATTATGTGCAATGTCTTTGTGATTATCTATTCTAAACAATATTTGTCAGCAAGGACAAGGTTGTCTTTGGCCTATTGCCTCAGGAATCCAGATCTGGAATTAAGGGAATCCTTACTTCCAATCCCTTGGAAGATCTCCACAAAATTTTGCACCTCGCATCTCTCTGTTGCTTTCCATTCCTTTTTCCTGCTGCATGACAGGCTGGGGAGGTGTTTCAGACACTTGTCGGTTCTGGGGCTTTGGATGCTGGAGGAATCCTATCTCCTGATCAACATTCTGGAGCTTCCAGCAATATAGTTGTCCCTACAATGCTGAACATCCCAAATGGAGGAGCATCAGGATCCAACTGGACAATGTCATGACAGTACTGTACAGTAACCATCAGGGAGGAACCAGAAATCTTGCCGCAACAAGCTTTACCACTTCAGAGATGATTTGAGGATCTACAGCTGAGTGATACACAAGATACATTTTCATTAATAGTTTACTTGAATGCATTTTTACAGTTTAACTCTTGTTTTTAATGTCACTTTAAAACACAGCAGGAGTTGCCCACCCCTGGTTTATTTAATCTGACATATAAACCAGAGAAAATTGTCCTGATTGCTTCTACGCAAACAGTGTATAATTAAACGCCATCAACCTATTCACTCTTTTCAGTGCAGGATAGATCTGTGGTACAAGTGAAGTATATAAACAAGGGACTTGCACATCTCTGCAATAACTCTGGTGCTCTGGGCTTGTAGATTTTAAAATAGACAAGTGCTACATGGCACGGTGCCTAGGCAAATGCAATAAATCCAATCCAATGTCACAGAATACAAGGTGCTTTGTGTATGGGCAAGGGGCGAGGTAAGGGTGGGTCAATGACAGGATTCCTTCACTGTACGAGAACCACAGGTTTCAGCTGCAGTGCTGGAAGTTGGGCACTGACAGAGCTATCTAGCATGAATATAACTAGGATTTTTACCTTAAACAGCAGCCATCCACACCTAGGATAAGTATCATTAGTGGTCATTTATTTATAAACAACAAAAGATTGAAAAGAAAATGAAGGCAGTTCTGCTTCGACATATGTCCTTTAGTATTATGTACAAGGCTGACAGTAGACACATCTAGGATTATTCATTGTAAATGCTGATGTTTGGAGTCCTCTTGGATTTCTGTTTGAACAGAGCACGGCAGCTAGAGGGCCTACAACCTTGTAAAAAATGTGTGTTGCCAAAGGAACAGTCTGAGGTATTTGTGCAGCAAATCTTTGAAAATGTTGCTGAGCCCATAGTTTACATCCTGACATTTGTGTACAGCGTGTTCTCACAGCAGGGAGCAGGCATGTAATATAATATGGCAACAGACCTTGTTTTCGTACATACATTTTTAGTCCTAAAGTAGCACTTCTTTCTTTTGTTTCCTCTTTTCTGACTGTAATCAGTTACATTGTGCTCTTAAGGAAGGCTAAGAAAAGCTAAGGCATTTCTATGGAGAAAAAAAATGTATAAATGTCACAAACAAAACACAAATAGCTCTATACACAAATTCTATTAGGGCCCCGTTCACACTATGTTGTTGTGGTGCACACATTACCAGAGTGTGCTGGTGCAGAGCAGTACCATACATTTGAATGGCACCACAACGCACCTTGCTGGGGATGTGAGTTGCAGCGCAATGTGTGGCAACTCCCTAATGTGCGCTGCCATGCATGTCCATCAGAAGGTGTGTTGGGGTGCCATTCAAAATGAGCTGTGGCATCAGAGGTACTGCAGGGTGCACTGCAGAAGGCAACCCATTCATTTGAATGAGCTGCCTACCGCTGCTAAAGCGGGGGCCCATTCACATAACAGTTGTTTGGAGCTATGCTGGCCGTTTTATCCAGCGCAACACGAACGCAAGACAAGGCAATTTGCCTTGTCATGGGTGGGCTCAGTTCACACCACTGTGTTCTGGTGGTGTGAGCTTAAAAAAGTATGGCATGCTGTACTTTTTTGAAGTGCACTGCAGTGAGATGCAGTACAACTGCATTGCACTGGTGTGAGCCCATAGAGCTTAAAGCGACATTAAAGGCAACAACTCCCCCATGCTGCTCTAAGCACTTACCTCATTTGATGCCTCTTGCTGCGATCACCTTCTTCTGTCCACTTTGACAGTCCCTCCAGCGCTGGTGCCGGTCTCTGATCCACCGCAGACGCCTCATGTCCCACTGAGTCTGTTTGATGTGCGCGCTTCTGGCTGCGTCCATTCACTTTTATTTGCTTTTCTATCCCCTCCCCTCTGCTGCACATGCGCTCGCAACTTCCTCCTCAAAGCATTCTGGAGCTGGGAGTTCTTCAGCCGGGAACGAGCGGCGCTGGAACAGGTAAGTAATTAGGTATTTGCTTACTTTTTTATTTTTTAATCATGGGGCATATATGTACTGCATGCTAGCAGTAGATATATGTCAAAATAAAAGAGACTTTAAATATGCTTTAATTTCAATAAAATGATTAAAAAAACAAAAACAGTGTCATGAGGCTCGATCGCCACTGTCCAGGCACACACACACCAGTACCCGTGCGGTTGAGCCTGGCTGCTGGTGTGAACAAGCCCTCAAAGAAGTGTGTGCACCTTCTTTTTAAATCGCATTGCATAACATTACCTGGTTAGGGCCCAGTCACACCGGTTCTGTTGTGTTGTGATACATTTTTCAATGGAAGGGCATTGAAAAATGAATAGGTGTGGATGGGGCTAGTTCACACCGCTCTGTTCCAATGTGCTGAAAAAAAAAGTTGAACACGTGTTACTTCTTTTCATTGCAATGTATTGCAACGGATCCGGTGTGAACTAGCCCCATTCAATTTTCTGCGCCCTTCCATTGAAAAATGTATCACAACACAATGGATCCAGTGTGAATGGGCTCCAACCGTGTAATGTGATGAAATGCGGAAGGAAATCAGAAGGCGCAATTGAAAGTCAACGGACCCTCCGTTGACTTGCGATTTCATTCTGATTTTGGTGTGAATACACCTTAAGGACTAATGCAGACCTGGCCGATCCGGAACGCCCGTCCTGGGACTGCACGGTTATGCACAATGGCACACAGCGATTGCCGCACGGCTCCATTAATTTAAATGGGGTTACATCTGCATGTTAATCACCTTTTTTTGCGACACGCAGCTGTTCTAGCCGCGATCATGTTCGATTGCACGGGCAGAAACGCGGAGGGAAACTGTACACCGCATCACACCTAACATTGCAATATGCGATGCGGGACGGCGTGCAGTGTAATGTTAACGGAACGTTACAAGCGCAATGTGGCCATTCCTAGAGACATAGAAGTGGCTGCAAAGAGACTGCTGCAGATCTGTAGCGCTAACATGCAACGAAAAAAAAAATTTGAACACTGTTTTTTATTTTTATATCTGGAAAAAAAAATCTGGCAATTCTTACAGATACACAGCACTTTATGCACATCGATATAATTGACTACAGGTTCAGCTGCAAGCCAAGTGAACGCATAATTTCTGTGCGTGCGGCCGCCACATGATGGAGTTCCACGAACAGCACACAGCTCGCTCCTTTCATCCTTACGGCTCTTTCCTCGGTTCCGTCAAGTCTCTATGGTGCTTGACTGCTGTAGTGAGTGGAAAGAACAGGAGGGGCTCCTCTGGTAATTTCTCCTCCTGTACTCTATGGTTGCAGCTGCCAGAAGTCTCCAGGCTGCCCGCTGAGGAACAGCAGTGACATCCAGCCGGCTTAGCGCAGTGTGCGGACCCAGGTACTCCCTGCAACTTTCTGTGTCCTTCTTCTTCCCCTCATTCATGATGTACAGCTTGTGGTATTGTGTACTGCTCATCACAACGCTTCCTATTGCCGGAAGGTTGGCTTATTATAGAGCTATGTTTGTATGTGTGACATTGTGATACTGGTGAGTGACACTATAGCATCCCAGGTTGTACACATGCGGACAGTCTTGATGATCAGTTAGATCTCTGCACTACATTAGCCTGATAGATGGATAGAAGGACATAGTCCAGCCTCTGATTCATCTATCCCAATGTGTTACTATTTGGACTCCTTCAGCTGGCCTTATGTATTTACATAGGATACTGTTGGTGCAAAATCTCGGCCATACACGATACGCATGTAGCATCTGTGCAGTGTTTACATGCGTAAAGCATGAACGTTCCTTATTGGCCGCTGCTCAGGGCCAACTTCAACAATATGTGATTGGCTGATGACACAGTTTTGATGGTGCACCATTCATTACACACTATTAGGCCTCATGCACATGGGCAGAAAAAATATAGATTTGATAGGCTTTTTTTGCGTATGTTTTTAATGTTTTTATTTTATTCTAAACGCAGCTATTTTAGCCAATGTGACCATGTGGCATTTAGATTTGTATTATAAAGCAACATAAAACATGAAAAAATGCCCCAAATCTGCATTCAGAGAGTAGCTTTCTGTATTTACACATATATGTATAAACGTGTGTGTGTGTGTGTGTGTGTGTGTGTGTGTATGTATATGTATGTATGTGTATATGTAGCAACATAAAACATGAAAAAATGCCCCAAATCTGCATTCAGAGAGTAGCTTTCTGTATTTACACATATATGTATAAACGTGTGTGTGTGTGTGTGTGTGTGTGTGTGTGTATGTATATGTATGTATATGTATATGTGTGTATATATATATATATATATATATATATATATATATATATTGTACACTGTAAATAAATAATACATTCTAGTGCAGGGGTGGGACTCCAGCTGTTGTGGAACTACAAGTCCCATGAGGGATTGTAAGCCTCTGACAGCCACAGGCATGACTCCCAAAGGCAGAAGCATCATTGGATTTGGAGTTTCACCACAGCTGGAGGGCTGGAGTTGCCTACCACTGTTCTAGTGGCTAGAATACTTGAATACTCTAGCCAATAGAATGAGTTTAAGCATATATGCTTTTAATTACTATATTTGCTTCAATGCGCATAAACACAAGAGCTTACGCCCCAAGCGCGCATTTTTTTAAATGTTGGCTGCTGGCAGAAAGATCCAACGTAAATGGGAGTATTTTCATATGCTCATGTGCATGAATCCTTAATGTTTGCCTGTAGGCCCTGAATGAGTCGTTCATGTAGTGGTGGCACATGTGTAGAGTGACCATCCTTTAGTCCAGGGGTGGGTAACTCTTTCCCTCCAGCTGGTGGGGAAATACAAGTTCCATGAGGCATTGCAAATCTGACAGTTACAAGCATGAGTCCCAGAGGCAGAGGCATGTTGGGATTTGGAGTTAAAGTAGTATTAACGTCTCCAAGCAGTAGATATATGCAAAAACATTATGCTATGAGCGTGCAAGTCGGACAGACACCGTGGGAGAGGAGGAGTCTGCACTGGATCAGAGACCAGCACCAGCGCTGGAGGGACTCAAGAGGCATTATTTAAAGGAGAACTATGACATGAGTGATTTTCACTCACCTCATAGTTCTAAGCCGACCTGTGACAATGAGACTGTCACAGGTCGGCTCAGTAGATCGGGAGGTGAGGGAACACATACCGGGTTCCCTCACCTCTCGATTCCCTCACCTCTCGCTAGTTTGTGTCCTCCCGTTACCCCAAGGAGAACAATAGGGAAAAACACTGACCCCATAGTTCTGGGGGGGGGGACTTTAATGTCAATTTAAAGCACAGCTGGAGGGCCGGAGTTGCCCACCTCTTGCTTTAGTCATCTAGATTTAGTCATCTATGAATTCATCAGGTCATTCTGCACATGCACCGCACAGCACGTAAAAGACTTATTAAGGGCTGACAGGTAGGCATCATTACCGTTACTCATTGTTGATAATTATGTGTCAGACCTAAGCAGCAGCAGTGACCAATAGGGTAGATTTGCGTTGGACACATGTAAATGTTAGCACAAACGTTTACATGCATACAGTGGAAAATACGGTGCCGGGTGTAGTTGTGTCCTATTTTTACTTAAACTGTAAGCTATATGAATTGGACAGATCAATAGCAGAGAGGGAGTCACAGCACAAATTCCAACATATACCAGATGATGAGATTGATGATATCAACTTGATGCATCTGTGCATAGGTCATACAAATATAATCCTAAAGCTGGCCATACACCTATAGATTATCTGCAGATTTTCTGTTGTCAGAATAAAAAAGTGCAACAGATTCCTCCATCCACGCTACACTGTGTGGATGGAGGAATCTCCCACTGGGCCAAGCTTCAGTATCTTGCTAGTCGGCCCAGCTGGCTCTCAAAACACCTGAACCATGCCTGCATCCAATCAGATTGTTCATGTATTTTGAGAGCCAGCGGGTCCGCCTAGCAAGATACTGAAGCTTGGCCCAGCGGGAGATTCCTCCATTCACACATTTTAGCATATATCCTTGGTTCTCAACTGGTGGTTCGTGACCCAAAAGTGGGTCGCGACCCTTTGTTCAGTGGGTCACCGCGTGACTTTCACTTTTCTAGGTGAGATGCTCCTCAGCCTTCCCCTAGTGCAGCAGTGTCAGTTCTCACACCAAGCAGCCATTCAAAATATGCCCAAATGTCAGCTTGAGGTGGGGTGGGCTGGAGCTATGGCTGCGAGGGAGCTACATCTATACATGCATTACTTACAGCTCCCTCACCTGTCCTTTTAGAGGTGCCTGGACCGGAGTGATGTCACATTCTGGCTCCCAGCACCTCTACAAGGTGTGCAAGGGAGTTGTACAAGCAATGCACATATGGATGGAGCTCCAACACAGCACAGCAGCCCACACTGGACCCCAGGCTGGGGATCCACTCCAGTTCTCATAATATAGGGATACTGGGTGGAGCTTAAAAAAAAGAAAATAAAATTAAAAATTTGTTTTTGGAGTGTATATGTGTGAGATTGTGTCTGTCAGTGTTTTTGAGGGCCCGTTCACACTAGTACAGTACATTAATCGAACAGTCCTGTGCCATTAATGCACTGTACTACGCAATCACACCTACTATGCGTTATGTTGCCATTTATTTCAATGGCACCCCAAACGCACGTCCCGCCCACAGCTCAATCGCCAGCACCGAAACGCGCGGTACCGCAATGCAGTGCCACTTGGGTTGCGACTTAATGAACAAGGACAAATGTGGGTCCTGAGGTTTCACAGGTTGAGAACCACTGGCATAGATGGAGGAACCTGTTTCACTTTCTCCATCTGGCCATAGAACATATGGCTGATAATCTATAGGGGTATGGCCAGTTTAAGACTATAAGGATATTGCTTTGCTACCTGTGCCTGGTAGTGTGGTATTGTGTGTGTCCTGTTGTAGGATTTTGTGATGTAGTTTAGTCTAGATGGGGAAAGTCACGGTAAGGAAAGTGAAGGTTAGTCCTATTTTTTTTCTTTATCATTGCTGAATGCAGTGGAACATTACGCCACCCAGCTCTGCTGTCTGCATAGGTCTCTAACCTTTTTAAGCGTCAAGTGCTTGTTTTAGTCTAGAGTGTAAAATAACAAAGATATACTCACCTGAACCTCGGTTCTGCCTTGCTGCTAGAAGGTTCCCCACAGCCTCTCTCCACTTCCAATCCGGCGATGAAAAGTCCCTCGGTGTCCTCATGTCTAATACACTATATTAGAGGTGGTGATTCACGGATCCTGAGGCCCCGTTCACACTGAGCGATTTATCGCGCGGTAATTCCTGCGCGATATCGCTCTCCAATGCTTGGCAATGGGGCAAAGGGTCCTGCTGTCGCGGGTCGTGCGTCGCTACAGCAGGACCCTTTTTGTAGCAGATTTAGCCGCGATTCAATGCTTTTCAATGCAAGCATTTGCGCGATTTGCGAATCGCCAAGTGTGAATGGGGCCTTAGACTGCGGAGGGGGAGGGAGGCTGTTTGCACCAGTCTAGGGCTACGGGCTACGTTTTATCCTGCCCAGAGTTCTCCTTTAACCTTTCCAGTGCAGGGGTAGCCTCACTGCACAGCACACACGTCGGTGCAACTGCATTGGCATGTGCTGTTGATGTGAGCTGTGGTTAATTTTTGCACGCATTGCCGGGCCTTCTTTTAACCTAATGTGTGCTGCAGTGAGTTGTGATAAAATGCTTCTTGTCTGATTTTTGTTTTCATAGCACGCATTAATGTAGCACATTGATGTGAACTGCCAAATTACAAAACGCGGCTTTTTGCCTTGCCCATGCATTGCCCACAGTGCAGGTGGTGAAAACAAGTCCTAAAGATGATCTTTAAAATGATGTCCTAAAGATGATGGTGGCTCATTTTAAAGAGCTTGTTCAGAATCTGTAAACACTTTAGTGGGCACAGGTTTCCTTTAATATAGAACTGTTATCACAATGCTCTCCAGGGATCTAACATGCCTTGTTTACAGTTACCATTAATAGAGGCGTGTAATGTCTGTAGGGACTTGGTACCCAATAGATGTAACTTTCCTTTTGAATCATACAGCTGAATTTTCCAAACTGCAACATCTTTCCTGGACTCAGTTCACAAAGCTTTAATGGAACTGTATGGTGCTACATTCTCCCCCATGTGACTATATTCTAAAATTTCTTTGCGCTCTGAAACTAACTGATACTTGTTTGAAAATAAGGATTCTTTATTTATCTAGATAATAGCTATATTACACAAAAGAGCTCAGGGAACAAAGTACAATGCTTATAGCAACCAATCAAAATGCTTCTTGCACTGGTCTGGCTTTGGTAAAGTGAATTCCAGTTGGTTAATATGGCTCACTGCACTTTGTTCCTCGCTTCTTATATTTAAAGCCCATCA